CTGACATCTAAGAGGTTTACCTAAGCTGTTTACCTTCCTAATATAAACTTAGGGCTCTGGTTATTATGGTGAATATAATAGGTGTAACATATTTTATGATTTTGATAAGACTTCAGCAATTCATTAATATCGGAGAATGCTTTTTAAATTATGCTTAACATTATTACATTTCAAATACCATTTTAGCAAGGCCGATCAGATGAATTTCCAGTTCTGTTGAAACTTTAATAGGGTTTAGATTTTCTTTAACACCATGTTATGGCTGTCTTAACAATAAATCAATAGATGGTGTGTAAGTCAAGCAATTTTTGTTTTGACAGATCTACTGTAAGGGAAAAAATGTAGTTACAAAAATCTATGAGTTGTCCATGAGTACAAGATCCCTTCAAAATTTTTTCTCTTGTGTTGCTTCAGATGGTAGAAATATCCAACTGGCTAGACGTAATTTTTTAAACTGTTCATCCGTAAGAGGTTATGAATCTTTAAGAACCTTTAGCAGCCAGAAGCCTGTTCGGTTATTATCAGTACTCTACAGGAAGTTTTTCACATGGTTTTCATTTGCATTTTCTTTATGCTCTCTGTATGGTGTTGTAGGTCAACTGAACTGGATTGTTTTCAAGCCCATGTTTAGTTCATGTCTGCACTATGGTTTTAAATAACAATGTAAAAAAATGAACATTTTTAACATGACTCACTTCTTTCAGTCATATAGTGTGCTTCTTACCTGTCTTAACAGGTGGTGGGCCATTAAAAAAGGTGTTAGTTGGGTCATTTGATGCAGTCTGAGAAAAAGAGGAGCAAAAAATGGTAGAAGTCCTTCAGGACACAGTGAGGCTGAATGAGGAGAAGCTGTCCTGTTACTGCTCTTCCACACTGCCTAGAACTTTCCCCTTGCTTGTAAAGCTCCATCATTACAGCCCCCCTGAGGTCTCCACAGATGCTAAGGGATGTACTCTCCTCTTACTGTAGGAGGGAGATGAGAAAGCAGTGATGTAGGTTTCACACAACTCTGCAGCACAACTGGGGACTAAACACAAACTACCTGAGGCTCTGGTTAAGTGCTGATTATACTTTCTGCCTTCATTTTTCTCCTCTGCTCTTTAGTTTCTTGCAGTCTAGTTCTGTTTGAACTTGGTGGCGTTTAAGAGTAGTGACTGGAAGCATGCCTGCTGGGCTGAGGAGTCACCTCTTGATGAAGAAGGTCAAGAAGGTGGCAGTTGTCACTTCTTCAAGGATGTGATAGCAGTGGATACCACTTGGATTTGCCAAAAGCAGGAAGAACACCTACTGACAGCATAGGCTCTGCTTCTGCTGATACTTTTGTAGACAGTGTAAAAAACACTCCTTGGCATCTATCATAAAGGCTTCAGTCAGTTCATTGTTAGTTTTCTGAAGAAAAAAATAAAGACAATATACGTATCTATAGTTATGCATGAAAATAAGTGGAGTGGTCCTATATTCTCAGGTTTTTCCAAACAGCTTCTCTGAATTCTCATGCTGAATGAAAATAATTTGTGGGAGCAAAATACAGACACCAACTTTTAACTTACACATTTATTTATAAAATGTGTCCTTTAAGCATTTGAATATAGAAACTGTGGGAGTTGTGTGCTTTTTAAGCAAGGCCCAGCAAGTGCTGAGTACTGGTAGCTCACCAGTAACCAAGTGGGAACAAAAGGATCAGTAGAAACCAGTCATCATGCCGTGAAACCAAAATGTCATAATATTTCACACAAACTTCCTGACATGACTAATCCAGGAGATTCACGGGGCAAGTCTTAGTAAATATCAGCTGAATACATTTTGTATCTAATTAATATTCTACCAGGTGATCCTAACCATTAACAAGATCCTGTTTAAAGTAACAAGGAAATGTTCCAGTAGGCTAAGGAAGGTATCATATAATGGAGTATAATTGGTGTGGTATTTTTGTTTGTTAAAGGAGGGACTCTGCCCCCGCTGGTGGCTCTGGCCTGGCTCTGTACGTGCTCCACGGGGAGGATGCTGCCGAGCCCTATGACAGTACGTTGTTGAACATTCCGCTCCATTTCTGCAATGCTAAAAATAGTTGTCCTCATTTTAAAACACTAGGCTATTAGATTATTCCAAGGGTCTGGCATACTCACGGTAATGGAAGTCACATATCCATAAATTATCAAAACAGTAAGTAGTGTTTGACCATGCTGATTTTACTTCTATTGAGATGAGTTTCCTTGCTAGTAACCCTGGACTACCATGTCTGTGCTGTAAATCAAGCTCCTGGAAGTGCCCCAGTAAATTTAAAACTAAAAGGAAAAATGTTTGTTCTTCATATTGAGGATGGAGAAGCATCTGGCTGCTTCTTGTTTTTGCAGAATCATATCTGCAGAATGTTTAAAATACTTTATAGCAATTGTTTCTCTTTCCCAGCCTTGAGGGAAATCTAATGAAGTTCCATCATGTTTGCTATTATAAAATGTGGTAATGTCTACAATGTTCTAAATAGCAAAACGCACTCCAAGTGATTGATGCAAGTTTCTCTCAACACTTATTTTTTTATGATCAGTTAATGTGATACCTACTTCATTTTTGGCACCGTATTGTTTGGTAGTACAAGTTACCAATGTGCTTTAATAAAGTTCACATACTTGTATGTTAAGATAGTGTCTCTTTTTAAAATCTTTTTGAATGTGAAAATCTCTTATTTAGGGAGAAAAATAGCTAAATGTGCAATTAAAGGTATACAAATTAATGTAAATACATTCTAAGAAAGTACAGACATGCCAAGCATCTTACTCTGTCTTAAAAACCTTTAGCTGTAAACTGAATCCCTAATTTTATAGGGTGTTGCAGTGTGATTGCAAACTGCAAAATCAATAAATTATAAATATATTAAGAACCCTGATTATAAATGCACTACATGTTTCCGAAATAGTTAAAGCAACCGCAACATTAATCATTTTAGATTTAATAAGAATCAGTATTGATGTAGGAGGTTATTTTTGCATTGTTGTGTTGAAGGGGTAATCATTTGTAGGACACTGATTAAACAGTGCAAGGCAAAACATCTCTGGCTTGTCTCCACAAAAAAATAGTGATTGTGTTTTTTCCTAGTTAGCAGTGATCCAATATAGCAGGGAAGATGAAATACTAATATCTGGTACCTATTAGACTATGAAGAATTTTTCTGAATTCACGTTGTAAATCTGGAGAGAATGAAAGACTAAGGATTACTTCTAATGATTAATTAGAATTTTTTCCCAGCACGCTAGATTCTATTTTTACAGAGGGGAGCTGGAAGGAAGATACTGGAAACTGTGCCATGAGTGGAGTTAGAAAAATGCCATTTTAATAAGCTATTTTAAGCTGTGTCTTAATTGTTGCATGAGTGCTTTGTATTTATTTGCTTAATTACTTGTATAATTTTGATGAGTAATTGTTCTTTTATTGTCTCTTTCTGTGGTTAAGAGAGATGGGAGTTTTTTCCTTTGTCTCCATTCTTTTTTTGTGTCTGTGAGGCATTTGTCTTCTGCTTGGCTTGGAATCAAACGAGTGAACTTTCCAAAACTTTCTTTTGTTGTTGAATTCTGTCTTGGCTAGAAAACGGAATTGGGTGGCGTGCGAGTTACTAGGGCGAACTTCTGTCAAGGAATTAAGACCCATGAATGGAATGGAGAAGGCATTTGATTTTAGATTCTTTTAATAAGTCTTCTAAGCTCCCACTTGAAGTCATGTGAACACAGATGAATTCTTCTACCACAACTTAGCTCAGTAACTTCAGATTTATTGAGACCAAAATTAAGGTACTCCATGGTGGCGTACTTTTGTGCATCCAAATGGAGGGTGGTTCTTAGCTCTGAGTGGCAGAGCCTGGTTCTCACTGGGTCTGTGGTTGTTTAACGAGCTTTGCTAAGAAGGAATGGAAAAGGAAAAACTTGCAATGTTTTATATTTTAATTCTAAATGAGATATTGCTGGGTGTTTAACTGTACCTCTTCCTTGGAAAGCCTAGTATTAAATGCAGAATTGAATTATCTGTAGCTGTCACCTCAGAGCTCTTGATTTTTTTTTTTCCCTCTACTGCCCTTATTCAGATATTGAAGTTTACCATGTTACTCAGTTTGGATAGTTACCTTTTAAAAACATTTTAGATGAACATGGTGATTGTATTTATGCTCAGCAACTGGGCATAACTTTTAAGCATCTCGTTTCTTGGATAGAATTTACAAACCCAAATCATATTCTTAATTTTCATGAGCAGAGCAAGGAGAAAGTAGTATGGGGGGGTAAGAGGTGACTAACAGTCAACTGCACAGCTGACTATCTTACTCTGATAAAAGATGGAGTAGAGGAGGCAGTAATTTAACATAAACAGAACATTCACTTAAGTAGGAGAAATGGATTTCTGTCTGCCTGGTTGCACAGCATCAAGATTTGCATTTCCTTCTGCTCAGTAGGGTGAGTACTTAGCTAGAGGTGGGGAGAAGATCTGAAACTCCCCTTTGGCTGAGCAGAGCCTAGAAACCAGCAGCCTGCTTTGTATGGTCAGCTCCCTGTGGGACCTAACAGTTACAGTGTAGATGCTGTGGGCTCAAGCTACTAGTAGGTGTGAGGGAGAGAATGGAAGCTGTGGTACCCTTGTTGGAGTTTTATGTACTTGAGTAGTATGCAAGTGTCTTACAAAGTATGTTTTTCTGCATCATGACCTGAAATAAAGCTTGAGAAATATTTTTCATGTGATCCAAATTCTCTAATCGTTTTGTCATCCAGTTGGCTGAAGCAATGTACAACTGTATCTGCTGCATAATTAGATAACCTGTAATTGTTAATTGCCTAATATTTTGAAAGTGAAATGTATTTTAACCAAATGCAAATCAACAGTCATAAACAACTGTGGAAATCAGTTCAATTGGCCTGTAGAAAGTGAATGAGAAGCAATACATGTCCTGATGTTTCTTCTCTCAATCCAGCTCAGTCATGACGTAGGTCTGTAAAATGATGGCTATGTACATTTTGTTTCAGGGGGAAGCTGGCTTAGTAGGTGCTCCTGGCATACCTGGTCTTACTGGTTCCAAGGTAAAAAAAATAAAAATAAAAGAATAAACCAGTCTTATTTTATGTATTTTCACTTTCAATGTGCTTTTTGCCAGCTGTTCAGTATCTGCATAGATTGGATTTGAATTACATGTCCAATTTCCAAGTTGTATAATGCGACAGAGGAACTTCTCTCTCAGCTTCTCTTTCAGAAGAGAAAGGATGGGAAGTGCAGTGGCACAAATGTGCCTATCAGTATTATTTTACAGTAAGAGCAGTTGCCTAAGTAGAAAACTGTGCAGGTCTTTCCAGCCATAAGGTAGCAGATTTAAAAACTATGAAATTTGAGAGTCTTGTGATCTCAGCAAGATGAAGTGAAGTTTGGCACTGCATCTTCTGGTCTTCCATTTTAATCTTTTGCTCCTTTCTAGAGGTGGAATACTGTAAAAAGACCAGAACCTGCAAAAAGAGACATCTCTATTACCGACCTTGCTGGTAGTATTTGTTAAGGTTGCCTGACTATTTCATGGTCACATTTTGTTTTCTGTTGATTGCAGCTGTGTTTAGCCGTAAGCATTTGGAATGAAATCTTAGTCTCACATGCGTCTGTCCAGCTAATTCCTGTGAGAAAACTATAGGGGAAATGGCTCTGCTACTTCCACAAATTAAGGGACTGCATGCAAAACAAACACATTATTTTGTTTGTATTAAAATTTCAAGAAGGTGTTCTGCATCATGACCTTGATGCAAATGGCTGATTTGTATGTATCTTTACGGCCGATACTTCCTGTAATAGAGCACACAAGGTTAGGGAAGGAAAGAACTTATTTTCTGCAGATGAGGTAGCCAGCACTGAGTTCCGCAACATGCTTACCATAGTCAATCCATGTGTACGTTCAAAGCCAGGATCTCATTGACGTGTACTACAGACATGTAAAACACTCAAAATCAGATCAGTGATCCTGCAGTGAGTATTGACGAGTAATCAGTGATTGTCCATGAAAAAGCTTGGGTGGAATGTTTTCATTGCCTAATATGAGAAATCTAACACAGAAGGGGGAGTATAAGTCAGTCATAAATGTGTTATTTTGTAAGTTTCATATTTTTATTTCTGCAACATGAGAACTCTTTGAAGTAACTTAGCAGTGGCTAGTTATATTTTTAATGCTGTCAGGTGGAAATTATGTAAACTTCTTTCTCTACCCTTTCTGTTGACTGTATTTCTTATTTTCACTAATTGGAAATTATTTTTTTTAATACCAATATGTGCAGAAAATCTGGATACTTAGACTGTATTTTTGAAAAAGAAGGAATTAATTAATCACCCCATACATTGGTACAGGCAGAGAACAGACTGGTTGAGCAGCAGCATTTCTGAAAAGGACCTGGAGGTGGACACGAGGCTGGGTGTAAGCTAACACGTGTTCTCCTGTTGGGAATAAAGTGAACCACGTGTTGGACTATCTGAGTAAAACCGCAGATGGCAAATCAGGGGAAGCTTTTTTCCCCCTTTGCTTGCTGATGATGCATCTGGTATTGTGTGTCAGGTCTGGGGAGGTCTTCCACCCTAACTTCTTCAAGAGATATGGAGAAACCTGAGAGGGTCCAGCAGGAGGGAGCTAGTGTATGCTCAGGAGCCTAGAAAACAGGACCTTTGGGGAGAGTTTCAAGGAGTGTTCTGGTTTGTGCTGGGGTAGTGTTAATTTTCTTCCTAGTAGATAGAATGAGGCTATGCTTTGGATTTATGAGAAGAATGTCAGAAACAGTGATGTTTTAGTTGTTGTCAAGCAATGTTTACATTAAGCCAAAGACTTTTTCGGTTTCTCATACTGTACCTGTGTTCCCAGCTTCTTCTCTACAAAAAGCTGGGAGGACACACAGCCAGGATAGATGACCCAAACTGACCAAAGGGATATTTCATGCCCTAAGGCATCGTGCTCAGTATATATTTTGGGGAACGTTGGCGGGTGGGAGATCACTGCTCAGGGGTGGGCTTGGACAATGGTTGATGGGTGGTGAGTAGTTGTATCTATCTTTTTTTTTTCCCCTTCGTTGTTGGGTCCCTTTTCATTACAGATTATCATCATTATTAGTACTATTATTTTCATTACATATTATCATTAGTAGTAATATCATTACCTAATTTTATTTATTTTCAATTATTAAACTGTTGTTATCTCAACCACAAGTTTTCTTACCTTATTCCTCCAATTCTCTCCCCCATCCCACTGGGAGAGGGGGATGGGGAAGGTGTCCAAGTGGCTGTTTGGTGCTTAGTTGCTGGCTGGGTTTAAACCATTACAAGGTGCTAAGTTTATTTAGTCTGGCAAAAGGAGACCAAGGAGTGATCAAGACTGTCCTGCAGGCCTAAGGAGACCAGCTGATTGATCTTCAAGGACAGCTTCCTAAAAGCCCAAGAACAGTCCATTCTGATGTGCAGTGGGTTGAACAAGCATGGCAAAAGGCCAGCATGGATGAAGACGGAGCTCCTGACTGAGCTTAGACACAAAAAGAACAGTGGAAGCAGGGCTGAGCTACCCAGTAGGAATACAGAATCATTGCCAGAGCATGTGGTGATGGAGTTAGGAAACCAGAAACTCATCTTGAAACTAATGAGGGATTTGAAGGGCCTTTGTTGCATTGGTTTTCACTACTAAAGTTTGCTCTCAGGCCTCACAGATACCTGAACTTCCTAGCAGAGTGCGTGAGAATGAGCCATTACCCACTGAAGGGGAAGAGAGTGTTAAGGAGCACTTAAGCTAGTCTGACATTTGCAAGATGCGCTGCTCTCTGTCATTAGCAAAGGATGAAGATGCCTAGGGGAGGTTTCTGACAACTGGAAACAGGCAAATATCCCATTCATCTTCAAGAAAGAGCCAGGGAACTGCAAGGCCAGTCAGCCTTACCTTTGTCCCTGAAAAAATTATATAGCAAATCATGGAAGGCATTTCTAAACACGTGAGGGACTAGAAGGTGACTGGGAACAGCTAGTATGGATTCACCAAGGACAAACCATGCCTGAACAACCTGATTGCCTACTCTGATAAGTGTGTGTGCGGGCTAGGGACAAGCAGTCAATGTTGTGTACCTTGATTTCAGCCAGGCTTTTGCACTGTCTCCAGTCATATCATTGTAGTCAAATCTATGAGATATTGTGCTGGTTTTAGTCAGAACAGAGTTAATTTTCTTCACAGTAGCTGGTATGAGGCTATGTTTTGGATTTGCCCTAAGAATATTATTAAGTGGTTTTTAGTTGTTGCCAAGGAGTAGCTTGCACCAGTTCAAGGACTTACTCAGCTTCTGATGCTGCACCAGTGTTCCCAACTTTCTCACTACAAGCAGTGTGTGTGGCAGGAAAACAGCTCAGACAGCTGACCCAAACTGACCGAAAGAGTATTTCATTCCATAGCACATCATGCTCAGTACACAAGCGGGCAGTGGGCAGGGGGCGGGGGTAGGGTTGCAATAGCTTGTTTGCTTGCTCCTTAGCTTGTTTGCTCATTTGTCCATGCATTTGTTTGTGAGTTGGTGGGTTGGTTGTCTTTATCTGGTGTGATATCTGCCTCGGGCTCACTGGGACTCTGCTGTGATCGCTCTTGGGCTCTTGGGCACTGACTCTCGCTACTCGGGACCTGGCTGTGTATTGGTCAGTGAGTGGTGATCAATTGTATCATATTTTCTATTATTTTAAGTACTTAGTAGTAGTAGTATTTTTAATATTATTAGTATCACTATTAATTTATATTCAGTTATTAAATACTTCTTATTTCAATCTGTGAGCTTGCTTGTCTTTTCCTCCAATTCTCCTCCTCCACTGGAGGAAGGGGGGAGGTGAGCAAGCGGCTGCATGGCACATAATTGCTGTTCAAGGTTAAACCACGATAGATATGGACTAGATAAATGGACAAAAATATGCGTGGAAGTTTGGTTGGATTGTTGGGCTCAAAGATGGAATAACTGCTCTGCAGTCCAACTGCTGCATAGTAATGAGTATCATCCCCTATGAAGTGATACTGGGGCCAGTATTATTTAGTGTCTTTATTAATAACCTGGGTGATGGAATTCTCAGCAAGTTTGGGGATGTTATCAAATGTGCATGTAGTCATTGCACTGGAAAGTAGACAAGGATAATATTCTGTGAGCTTCAAGATGCTGGAGAAATGGGCTAGTGCAGAACTCAAGAAGTTAAGCAAAGCCAAACGTGAGGTCTGTCTGCCAGCCCAGATGCATGGCCATTGCTGTTACCCAAATGTCCCCAGGCACAGCAGAGTAAGATGAGAAGCAGTGCAGCAAGCAGCGAAAGCAAAAAGCAGCCACTAACAAGCACTAGCTTCTCATGTACAGTGAGGCAAGCAGGCCCCAAGGCAAACACAGGAGCCTGCCAATTAATAGCTGAATCATAGAATCATAGAACAGTTAGGGTTGGAAGGGACCTTAAAGATCATCTATTTCCAACCCCCCTGCCATGGGCAGGGACACCTTCCACTAGACCAGGTTGCTCAGAGCCACATCCAGCCTGGCCTTGAAGACATCCAGGGATGGGGCATCCACAACATCTCTGGGCAACCTGTTCCAGTGCCTCACCACCCTCTCCGGGAAGAACTTCTTCCTGACATCTAATCTAAACCTCCCTGATTTCAATTTATACCCGTTACCCCTTGTCCTATCACTACAGGCTCTTGTACTGAACAAGTACAAGAACTGAACTGTACTGAACAACAGTAACAGTTCCAATCAAACCTGTTGTTGTCTTGAACCCTTGGAGCCCCATGTTGGCACTAAAGCGGGACTGTCGTGGTTTAACCCCAGCTGGCAATTAAGCACCACACAACTGCTCAGTCACTTGCCCACCAGTGGGATGGGGGAGAGAATCAGAAGGGTGTGAGAAAACTCCTGGGTTAAGATAAAGACAGGAAAGCAAAAGCCATGCACACAGTTGGAGAAGAATGGGAATTGTAGAATTGTAGAACAACCCAGGTTGGAAGGGACCTTGAAAGATCTTCCTGTTCAACCCTTCATGAGAAAGGGAAACTAGATGAGCAGAAGAGAAGTTGTATACATTCAGATAGTATTTTGGTCATTAACCAATCATTTTTAGATGAGGATATGTGGAAGGTTGTTTCACTAGATCCCATTTGGCATGCTTGGTCTTGGGCATCCTTCCAAAATTGACCACTAAGCTGTTGATTGCATGAGCCACCCAGCCAAGAGAAAGCAAACAAAAAGCAGCCACTGTAGGTGGTTGATGAAAGGTTCAGAACTATTTGATAATCTATACACCTGCACGTCTCCAAAGCCTTGGATTTAATTCCCAGATGTATAGTAAGTGATACTATACCTGTTGAAAGATTTGACAAAATGCCGCTAGTAATTTTGCAAGTTGTAGCCTGCTGTTCTAGTTAACCTCACCTAAACTTCAGACTTCTATATAAGGAAATTACACACTCTGAAAGGTGAAAGAATGTTTGGACTTTGCTCATTCTAACTTTTTGGAAGTAGTTTAGAAATTTTCATATGCTTTACTTCAGAAATTTTCCAATCTCTTCATCTTCAGACGTGTGAAATTCATGTGTGTTGTACTGAGGCGGTGAGGCTGAATTCTAGAGGCTGGCAAAGACATGGAAACCATCTCCTCCTAGATTTGAAGGAAAAAGAGAATGTTTGGGGTTTTTTTATTAGGTAGTTTTTGTGATACAAGTATAGAATTTTAGCTAGATGTCTGCTGTGTATCTCTCACATAGCATACAAATATATATTAAAAAAGATCTAAACCAGGTGTTATTCTTGTTATATTATAGCCAGGCTGCAGACTTTTTAACAAAGACATTAACATAGTAAGATTCTACACTAAGATCTTTTTTCTGAACTAAAAGTTATCTAGTTTAAGCTGGAAGAGCATTATAAAAGCTCTTTTTGTTGAAAGATCATCAAATAAAGATTTCAGTCTGCTGAAATAAGATGAGCTTGGATTAATATTTCAAAACTCACTCTGGGGGGGTGGGTGGGAGTGTTCTATTATTTGGGTAATTGGATATGGTTTTTAAAGGGAATGGAATGAGTTTTGTTCCAGCAAATTTTATCTGTATATATTTTCAATTGTTCTGGATTTTGGAGGCCTTCACAATTGACTAGTCATATTTAAAAATTGAAATGAAAGTATTAATAAGAATAAATGTGTTAAAACTGGTTCTGCAGAAGAACAGCAGTACTTTAATGAGAGGGTTTAATGAAGAGTTCAGAATTTTTAAAGCCAAGAAGAACCCTTAGGCTGAATGGAAAAGTGATTGAATACTGTTAATCGACAAAATTGTGGAAGGCTGTGTCATTTTTTTGTAGAAATTTCACACTTTATTTGAATGAGAGTAAATCAGTATCCAAATTATTTCTTCTGATTTAATCCCATAAATAAAAATTCAGTTCAATAAAACTATTTTAAAGAATGCAGTTCTTTGAAGAATGTTTGTTTGAGATTTTAATTTTATTATTTTGTGTTCCAGGGTGAGCGTGGTTTTGCAGGTAGTAAAGGGGAAGAAGGTGAAAAGGTAAATTATTCCGTCCATGTTCCTTATTTTTTCCATTTAATGACTTGGTATATGGCCAACGGCATAGAGCTTTGCTTTTTGCTCCTTAACTCTTCCATGAATAAATTGGGTTTTTTCTATGTAAATGATTCCTGAGATGCTTAAGAACAAGGAGGTCTTTATGCATGTTAATTGGTGTCATCAGTGCTTCTTTTAGAAAAACCTTTTTTTTTCTTTTTTTTTTTTTAAGAAAAGATTTAATAATAGAGTCTAACAGAACCATAAGCACTGAACTTTTTATACTTCTTCAGTGGTGTCTACTGCTACCTTATTTCTATGGTAACTAGTAAATGTTTATTTATACAGTATGAAATGCATGATGAGGTGATGTAGAGGTACTTACAGTACTTATTGCTTTTATGCATTAAAAATACACTGTTATAGAAACGGTGTGATGAGCGCAGTGACTAAGTGTTTTACATTCTTTTATCCTAAAAACATAAATTTACTGCACTAGCAGAATTTAACATTTTCCACAGCATAACTGATTGCTAATTTTAAAAGGATAATTTTCATTGATACACTTCTATGTACTTACACAGTAGTTAACATGAGTGTTGTCTCCTGCACACATCTGAGACTGAGTAAATTGACTTGATTGCCAGTGGCCAAGCTGAATGCAGGTGCATTTACCTCTTCTTCAGACTGGGAATTCAGACCCTTTGCCTAATGGACTGGAATGTTGCCCTAAGGACCTTCTTAATCTCCCAAGAGCCATAAAACATTTCTGAGTATAAATTCCTGGAGAAGCCTTTCCTTGTTCTTCACCAGTGGGTATAGGAAACAGAGCCTGAAACACTGTGCCCTAATTGTAGCTGAAATTGTGGTCAGAAATAGTTCAAAAGCTTGTTCATTGAAATGAGAACTAAACTGGCCCCGTGGAAGGCTGTCTTGGCTGACAGAATGCCAGTCTGGGTCGCTCTAGATCATGAAACCTCATCTTCTTGTGTGATCATCAGAGGCAAGTCTGTGTTGAGGGACAGGAGGAAGGAAGAGCCTCTTCGTAACTCACCTAGTAGGAATGAAAGTAAGAGTGCTGATCGTTTATGCTTGAAACTTCATCTCCTAACCAAGTTACTGCCTGATTACTGCTTTTTCACTTGTTATGGCTGATGCGGATTGCAACCTGAGCTAAGAGTCTTTTCTTGGATCACATCTGTGCTTCAGCTCACTGTCTGAAAAAGCTGCAGAAGAGCATTTCTGCTGAATTTATAGGACATAAAGATGAAGAATGACAGATACTGAGATTCTGGCAGTATTCATTCAGACTGAAGAAAATGGAGAGTAGGTGGCAGCATCTGAATTTAAAAAAGTGCAGTATATTTGTGCTTTGGACATGGGTATATTTACTCACCCACCATACTTCTTTAGAAGTGTCAGCCAGCTTTCCAGTGTTCATATTTTAAAGCAAGCATGTTAAGGATTAACAGATTTTAAGCAGATTTAAAATTGTGGAGGTTTTCTTAGGAGGAAGTATTCCACTAACCAGGAAGGAAGAAATATCAGAAGTAAAAGCAGCATCCATAGCAACTAACGTTTATAATGTGAAGATTAATTCACTAAAAAAAGCACTTGTTAAGCTTGAGTGTTTCTAACTCCACCAACAGATCTTGTTTCCTTGGAGGCATCATTATTCATCAGTTCTGAAGGGCTTATGGATTTTTTCTTTTCTTTTTTTTTTTCATAATTGCTCTGCAGCTGTGCTGTGCTTTCCTCAAGTTTTGTGAATAAATTGTCTTTGGACACAGACACATGGTTCCAGCTGTTGCTGCCACTCTCTTTGCTTGATTTCCCTTATTTTAAGGAAGAAGTAAAATGACCCAACCACTAATAGTCACATTTTTCTTAACTGGAAGCTGAATCAGCATATTTAGACTTTTTTTTTCTTTTTTGTCTTGTAACTTCAGAAGTTAATTAAAAGATCACTTGTAAAAGTATTTCCAGTGTTGACTATTAATACTGTATCCTGCTGTCCTTCACATAAAAGGAAATATATAAGTGGAGGGACCTGTACTTATCAGTGATCACTCAAAAATAATTTGGGACGGTCTAATCAGAAGCTACACATTGTGATCTGTGATTAAAGAGTGTGCTTTAAGATTATGGGAAGTAGGTCTCAGCCAGGGCTTTAGCCTTAATTCAAATAATTATGGAACAACAACAATGCTTTTTACAGTAACTGAACTACAATGTTAAAAATATGTCAATACCTTTGCATTTTAACATGGCATCACAAAATGAAACAGTTTTGTACTAATTTGTGAAAGCCTGGAACTTAAAATTAGATTTTTCACCTAGAACGTGACACAGCTGCCTAAACATGGGGTATTTGCCATTGCAAACTCTCTGTGGAGATACATAAAAATTAACAATCCTATACTTTTGTTTTGGTGGCCGTGTCATTCCATAGGATTGAATACTTAAAACCAACTGAACCTCTCAGTTCACCAAATCAAACTATTTGGCTTAGGCTTTTTTCTACTAGATTCTGCTTTGGCAGAGCAAGCTCTAGGGACATCTAGGGATATGTAGGCAACTGAGGCAAAAGTGATTGTAATTGTATGTAAATTAAAGAAAGATACAGGATGTATCTGTAATTTAAGCTAGTGAGAGAGATTCTTTTTGGCTGTTTAAAGGTTTCTTTGCTACCCTTAGTTCTCCTTGAGGAATCCAGAAGTCTTGTTCCGCCTTCCTTCTGGTTTTTTGGTCTCAGACAGAACTTGGTTCTCTCTTACAGAGGCCAGTAGTGGTAAGGGAAGCTACAGAACTGCGTGTGTGCTGCAAGTTATGCTTGTAGCTGTTATGCTGCAAGTTTTCCCTCCATAGGAAGTATACTCTCAGCTTAAATTTGGTTTAATTCTTGGTATTCTGCTTTCTTTGTGTTACTTAGATAATGAAATTGTCTTAGCGCTGCAACAAAATCATTGATCTACCCTTCTCTAGCATGGCTGAAAAAAATACACACTGAGAGCAGTTTTAATTGGTTTGCTGCCAGGAAGGCAGACTCTAACATGTGGATTCATCCTCATTCTACTATTGTCAGAATTGTAATTTTACAGTATGGGATAGAAAGTGTGAGTATTAAATTTTATTATGTTAGGAATTGAGGAAGGACTGATAATAACTAGAAGAATTTTTTACCATCCAGAATGTTCTTGGCAAATCAGAGATGTAGCCTGTAAAAAATAGAATCATAGAATCATAG